GATGCTCATAACATGCAAATCATCTCCAATACAACCTCTGAATGGCATCATCTCGGGCTGGTACCCAACCGAGGCTTGGAATAAGATCAAAGATGCTTCTCTTTTCCATGCGATGTAACATATGATCTTTGGTTGCTAACTTTAGTATCTGAGACTGATCTTCAGTATTGCACGCCCAGTAAATTCATATAAAGACGGTGGCTACCTACTCAACGCAGACACTCTCACAACAAGAGTTGTGAAGCTCTGTAACAGCCAAATGCTCATTATTCCTCGAGGCTCACTTACTACCGGTTAATTGTTGAAAGATTTTGCATCTGACCTTGCTCTGGAAACTTTGGTAGGATGAGACCAGCATGACCATGACAAGTCCCTCTAACAAACAATCCATTCAAGGATGTATAGCGAAAGAGCTATTGTCAAGTGACAAACTTGATCATAGCCTGATCAACTCAGATTAGACAACTCAAGTGACAGTTGAAGCCAGTCAGATTCTTAGTTAAATCTCAAACGGAGTTCAGCAATCCGGTGTGCGGATGGGATGGTCTGGGTCAGCCTCTGACGTTTTCTCACGCCGACGATGAATGACAGTCTTTAGTATGCAATGGCAACAGGAAAGCGGTTCTCTCTACATGATATTGAAGCCTGTACCAACAAGAACGGCTGTGGCGGTTGAGTTTTACATGATATGTCAAGTAGAACTTATTAGAGTCAGACAAAGACGAGGCGACGACCACCCGAGCAAGCCACAACACTACTTACGAGGCAATTTCAAGCAAAGCTGTGGACCGGTACTCCCACGATGCGTTGATGTTAGCCTTGGGTCGGCTTTTGGGTCATTGGATGACGGATGGCATGCGAAGCAACATGATTCTGTCCGAGGTTGAGGTCAATTCAGCGATGCAACTCTCAACCAGAAACCTCGTAGAGGACAGTGCCGAGTCAATGTAACCCTGTCAGACATTGAAATTGGCTTGAATATCCGTACAGCCATCGGGAATGGCAATCGTCAAGATCGAAAGTCTGTTTCTAGGCCAAAGCTTCTCAGCCTAACCAGAGACACTTATTGAGAATGGAGGCGTATAAATCAAACCCCGTAACAGGAAATCAATTATCAGCGGGCTGCCACTATCACTTATAAGTTCCCAAAACCCTCTGCTAGTTGTTATTAAAGTTTGGTGTTGTCAAAAAGACCTTCCGGTTGCTTTGTTCTCTTGCCTCGACTTGACTTCTAGTGGCTGAAACTTTATATAAGAATTTGTCGGCAGATTTACACTGCTTGCTGTAGATATTGCTATAATTGCTGCTGACATGTGTATAATAATAGACGCTTGTAATGAAGAGAAGAGATCATAGGATAGAGTATTCTATCCATCTGGTGTACGAGAAGTCTAGAGCCTATGTGATTGGCTGATGGCTCAACTCAACACTGGAAGCGATTGCCCAGCTATTAGATCAAGACTCATTCATATTCAGGCGGTGACTGAAGTCTATTTCCAAGACAAGCATGAATCTTTCGCTGTTTATCAGAAATTCAAAGCTCAAATCACTCTCCCTACGGATGTGCAACGTTGTGGTGGCGAAGCTGATCTGAAACCTCGGGTGGCTGGAACAATAGATGCATGCGATGCTCTGTAGTTAGTTGGGGCCTTAAGGTCTAGATCTCTATCGCCACTAAACAAGCTTCTCTCGGCCCGGGAGTGCTCTGAAGAGGCCTCGTGTCTATGAAGATGGCAAAGGGCAAGGAAGTGGCAGGAAAATAGTTGATAGGTGCCGTATATAGACGAATAGCTATACCCGCCTAGGTTGGCACCATATCACTGTAGCTTGGCGGCGCCACTAATTGACAACACTTGCAGATCGCCAGCTCAACACCAGAGCCCAAGCTTCAACTTTCTCACCGACAGAGCCCGGAACAACGGGAACGGCAAAAAAGGTCCTCTTCTTGGGTAGACAAAACGGGCAACGGTTGGAATTGGACTATCCAGACTTAAAAAAAAAAAAATGTCTATTCCTATGCATCGACTGGGCGGTCGCGGTACGTCATCACAAAGAACATGGAACAACAAAGTTGTTGTTTGCGCCGGAATCGGCAACGCGAGACTTCGAAGTGCGGCGCTTTGATATGAGACGTCAAACACTGACAGTTCGATCTGGTTAGCCTTTGCTCACGACGATGACGATATCGAACAAGAGTACGACCGATTGAGAGACTTGGCGCGCGCTGAGGCCGAGAAGCGCAACGATTGCTTCGCGCGTGTACGTTGAATACAACCCGTGTTGGCCGGAGGGCAATACAAGGTAGCTAACTTTGCTTGCAGTCGCGTCAGGCATATGAAGATGGCGATGGTGCTGGGGCAAAGGAGCTCTCCAATCAGGGCAAGGCACATGCTGCCCGTATGGATGATTACAACCAGCAAGCGGCCGATTTCATCTTCCGTGAGAACAACGCTTCTGGTCGTGTAGAGGCGGACTCGATCGATCTTCACGGTCTCTACGTCGAGGAGGCTGAGCGAATTCTTGAGGAGCGCATTCGTGCAGATCAGCGCAACGGACAGACACATCTCTATGCCATCGTCGGCAAGGGACACCACTCAGCTGGTGGTGTCCAAAAGCTCAAACCCAAGGTCGAGGAGCTGTGCCAAGAACTCGGCCTCCGATACGAAACCGATGAGGACAATACTGGGCGGATTATCATCAACCTCCAGGGCGGAGATCCTGTCCCTCCCTCGCACTCTGGTGGCTACGGTGGTCACCATGGTGGGCAACAGCATCACCAGCCTCAACATCATCAGCCTCAGCACCACCAGCAGGAACAGCAGAACGACGACGGGCAGGTACTGCCTTGGATCCTGAAGAAGCTGGAGAAGGCCTGCTGTGTGGTCATGTAAACCTTGGATGTACTCTTCTGAGTTGCCACTTTTGGAATGCTTCTTTGGACTGCCTCTTTAACGCATTTATACCCTGATCTTGTGGGGTGGGAGAGATTGTGACTTTCTGAAATAATCTTTTGTGATTTCTCTATCTTGTCGAGCATTCTGGAAAGGCCAGATGACTTAAATGAGAGACATGCGGAACGTTCATGTTAAGAATTGAATTGACGGAAATATTTATCAAGTCTTTGTTTGCTCGCTAGACATAGGAAATCTGTATTGTATGTAGATCAAGGCTCCTCTATACCCAAATGCGTCTGTGAAATCGAACGCTTCAACGTTTTGTTACAATATAATCAAAGGTCTTCTTAGACATCACTTGCTTATGCTTCAGTCGAGTCCTTAATGTTAATAATCTCCTGGCTCTCTGTGGGTTTAGGAGCCTTACAGAGAGTGAATCCGACGGCCTCGCAGATGATCGCGACCATCATCTCCATGATTATACCAGCACCGAGATACATCCAAACATCCTGCTTGTGGCCGCCAAGGATGAGAGCGCAGGTGTAGGCAAGTCGGACAATGACAAAGGGCAGAGAGGCACCAACGGCAATGAGAAGTCGATGCTCTCCATCAGCAATGTAGGACTGGCTACGGAGAGCAAGGAAGAACTGGCCCAAAACCAAGACAAGTACAATAATCATGAGAATGACACCAATCTTGCACTCGGAGTTGTACTTGACACTGGGAGAGGAGCCGTTGAGTTCGTAGTCCGAGTTGGCACCGCCAACTGAGATAAGGATGATGGCAGCAAGCATCAGGAGTTGGATCGCGCGCTGATAGATTGGTAGAACGCTGGGGCCGCCCTGTCGCTTGATTGAATCGAAGCAACGACTAAGCAGGCCGAGAAGGATAAGAATCAAGGGGCCGAGACCGAGACCGTTCAGAGTTAGCCAGCCAACGTAGAGGCTTGTGTTGCTTGGGTCGTTGATGGTTGCAAGTAGCATTGAAGAGCCGATTAGACGGGCAAGCGATAGGATGCAGATGTAGAGCCAGCCAGCAGTGCGTCCAAAGCCATGGCTCTTGCAGAGAAAGAGGGCTCCGATGAGGATGAAGGTATAGATGACAATCTCGGCGATGGCGATGTCATCGTGAGCGTCCATAGGTCGAGCCATTATAGTTGAATGTGTTGTGGTAAGTACCTATGTGAACAGAAAATCGGTTGAGTCTCAAGATGGTCCTTGGAGAATAGTTGATTTGTAGATGAATTGATGTTAGGAGAAGAGTATTGAATGAAGAAGCGATAATTATATTGCTGTTCTGATCTATTGAATGTTTCTCTCGACTTGAGACATACAGGCATACTTATACATGTCACCGTCGACTCACATTCCCAGCTTGAATATAGGAGATGCTGTACAGTCGGCAGAACGGCAATATCATAGCCTCAGTTGTTCCCACTGAATATCGACAGCTCGAGACAGTTACCCAAACGAGACAAGGTCCTTTACCAGATATGCATGAGAAACAGAGACTTAACCATAGATGTTGCCGCTGTGTGGCATCAGATTCCCGATATACAGGGTCGCATGCACAATCAGAATGCGATATCCCTCCAAGGCTGAGTGCATTCATCGAATCGCATGCCCAATTTGGTTTAGCTCAAGATCTACTCAAATGGGATTACAAGGTTCGGGTCTGTGGCTGTAACGAACCTTACCTTGTAGGGCTGTCTATTCGAGTGCCGTGATCCGTGTGAACGACCAAAGCGAGAGCGAATATGTTGATCGGTGACGCTTCTTCTGCATGTAAGATCGTGGCTTGTACCTGCAAGGGAAGGCTCTTTCTTGAATACCTAGAATTTTGAAATTCCTCTTCCGTGGAAGTTCTTGAAACTGCGAGTATCGATATCTGCCCAAGACCAGGGAGGGTACCTTGGTTACTTCGGCTTTGCCGCCTCGAATTATTTTCCTGCTGAAGACTTGAAGTACTGGTCCTCAGCTGAAAACGAATTACATCGTATGAGGCCGTGATTTGACTCACTCGAGCTTGTTCTGTTGATCTATCAAGGGTCTTCTCGCAGGCACTACAAGTAAGCTAAAGTAACCCCACACAAAGTGAACCCTCCAAATGACGTCGAGCCTTTCTAAAATTCTCCAATCGACAACTTCCTCCACTAACGAGACCTCCAAACCAACTTCGACAGCGCCGAAAGAGGCCTCTTATCCGCATCCTACTATTTCCAAGGGTAGTTGTCGATCTGGGAAGTCTGAATCATTTCCTCTCACCAGACGATGCCTGTGTGTCCCCCACTTTGTGACAACTTGCACGACCCCTCAGCTAAATCATTACCCAGCTCATCATTGTCTCTGGACTACCTACCTCAGGCAAGTCGACACGATCACAACAACTCTACAATTACCTCTCCAATCGTATCGCCGATTCGAAATATCGCCTACACCTCATCTCTGATGAGTCCCTCTCCATCTCCCGTTCCGTTTACGATCTTTCAAGTCTCCCAGCACATACCAGGTCTGCCAACGCCTCAGAGAAGGATGCTCGCGCTACAATCTATGGCGCCGTGAAGCGCGTACTTAGCGACAAGGATATCGTGATTCTTGATGGCTTAAATTACATCAAGGGTTGGCGATACCAACTACACTGCGAATCTAAGGCTGTGCGCACACCGAGCTGTATACTGCAGATTGGATGTTCAGTGGATAAGGCACGGGAGGTTAACGAGGCCAGACTAGAGAAGAGAGAGGCTGGGGCATCCAGGGCTGTGAATAAAGAAGAAGAAGCAACGTCTTCAGCTACAACTTCCGGTGATATGATCGTGGACTCTGCAGAGCCGTACGAGCCCGGCAACTGGGACAACTTAGTCTTTCGATACGAAGAACCCAATCCGATGACCAGGTGGGACAGTCCTCTCTTCACACTTATCTGGGAGGACGATGATGCCCAAACCAACAAGGTCTTCTCCGACCTCTGGGACGCAATCGCCGGTGAAGCCCGCAAGGTTGTGCGTCCGAATCAAGCAACGATACAGCGCGGCCGCGAGGAGAGTGGCGACTACTTGTATCTCCTGGATCGCGAGACGTCGGATGTTGTGAAGCGCATAGTCGAAGCACAGCGAGAGGGTGACGATGTTGACGAGGTACGGATACCGTCTGGCTCTGTAGAACTGACGATACATTTGCCCACGGGGAAAAAGGTTGGCCTCCCGCAATTACAAAGACTAAGGCGGGCGTTCATGGGGCTGAATAGAGGTGGTATTGGATTGGAGGCTGTGGGCGATATGAAGTCTTCACGGCTGAGAGACACCTTTGTGACGTATCTCAATGATGCGTTTGAGAAGGATGAGTAGTAGTTATCTCTCCGTGCGGTTCAATGTGATAGCTTTATGATGCATGATGTGACGATAGTCTTGATACTTGCTTCCATGATCACACAATAAACTTTCTCACATGCCTAGTGAGTTCAGAATTGTTGGTAGAGATACATCGCCGGGCGGGATGTACCTGCGATGGGAAAAATGAAATCAGCATAGTAGATTCATACAAATGTGCTCCCTCATGGTGTTAATCACAAGTTGAACATGACAACAGAGCTTTTGATTGGTTGTAAGTTCTGTAGCTCCAGGGTAATTCCAGACAGTGTAGGTAGGTACCTAGATAGTTAGGATGGTAGATAAATGCGAGAAGCTTGAAGCTCGGACGAGGAATAACTGCAGCTAGTACCCTCACGGTCGAGAGGAAGTGGTTTGAGGATGCCCAGATGCCCCGAGTCATAGCACGGCCCCGGTTGACACCATTCCTTACCTCGCCGACAAGTTCAATGGCAGATATCGTTCCATCATGTTTGTCAGCAGTGTACAGTAGGTTACCGGGTGATTCGAGATTCAAGATGGCGAAGAGGCGACTGGATCTATGAGATCCCTAAGTAAATTATAGTGGGCAAAAAAGCACCAGGGCAGTGTTGGAAAATGGCGAATGAGTCAAGACTTGATACATATGTATCGTTAGGTACTTAACAGTGCAACTGAGGCCGCGCAACAAATGGAAGCCTTTGACGATCCACCATGACCGCCATATGCAGACCAGACAGTCTGGGCGGTAGTAGTAGACTGAGCTACCAATGCAAGAGTTAAGTTCTGTCCACGGTTCCTGCGTGGCACTCAACAAGGTGGCGGGATCATGAGCGAATATGTGTAAGAAAGGGTAATTTGCGCAGTATGTTTAAAATCATTATAGAGAAAACTAAAAGTCCATTTCGCAACCAAAACTCACCTTGTTACAGCACAATGGAAGCTTCTGCTGGCTTCCACCTGTTTTGCCTTTGTAGTCGTCACTCTCTGTTTGCCTGTTGCTACCGCCTTGCGCCCGCCTCTGCTTCATCATGCTAGTGCCAGCCTAGAGCCCCACCATCAAGCTAAGCTACTTCCAACACTGCAACATCATTGTTCCGCCCCGGTTCAGGGCGTCCGGTGATATCATTGGCCCACAGCTGTGGCGGTCGGCCAGTGAATCGCTGTCAAACAGTTCCGATGAGAGGGAAGGGTGCCCTGTGGCCTTTGAGAACAGCTCGAACCTTCGTTACCTTACCTCCGACCTCACCTCTGCTTTAACTCTTGCATCTCTTAACCTTCAACACAAACTTTTGTCTTTACATCTCCCCACGAAGTCTCCCTTTTCTGCAATTTCTATTTAAACCCTCGTCACACACGCAAGAGCCAGCACTTGGCTTTTTCTATCTTGCAACACTCACAGCTCCCCCTCCTTTCGTCATCACCGAGCCAGCATCAGCTTCGCCTGAAGCATCCAGATAACCATCATGGCTCCCCAGCCTGACGAGCACCACCCCCACAAGAAGGTCAACTTGACGTATGTGAAAACCCAAATCTGGATCTATTCCGATCACTGTTATTTTGCCAAGCGGAATCACTGACAAGATACAGCGACCCTTCCGGCGCCGAGGTCAAGAACGTTCGTGTCATCCCATCTGATGAGATTGCCCAACATGCCGCTAACCGCTGTACAGGAAGATGATGTCGCGACTGCGATTCTCAAGAAGAAGAAGAAGCCTAACCAGTTGATGTAGGTGCTTTGCGCTGTACCTATCGCATACAATTACTGACATCACCAAGGGTCACCGATGCCGTCAACGATGACAACAGCATTATCGCCCTCTCCGAGGCCACTATGGACCAGCTCCAGCTTTTCCGAGGTGATACCGTTCTGGTTCGAGGCAAGAAGAGAAAGGACACCGTCCTCATCGTTCTTGCTGACGAGGAACTCGATGATGGTAGCGCTCGCATCAACCGAGTCGTTCGCCACAACTTGAGAGTCAAGCACGGTGATATGATCACCATCCACCCTTGCCCGGATATCAAATACGTCAGTAACCACCGACTATAAAAATGAACTAGCCTCTAACGTTTCTGCAGGCCAAGCGAATTGCTGTTCTCCCCATCGCTGATACCGTCGAGGGTATCACCGGTTCATTGTTCGACGTTTTCCTCGCTCCCTACTTCCGAGAAGCTTACCGACCTGTTCGCCAAGGAGACTTGTTTATCGTCCGCGGTGGTATGAGACAAGTAGAATTCAAGGTTGTCGAGGTCGATCCTCCCGAGTATGGTATCGTCGCACAAGATACTGTTATTCACTGCGAGGGTGAGCCTATCCAGCGAGACGAGGAAGAGAACAACCTCAACGAGGTTGGTTATGATGACATTGGTGGATGCCGAAAGCAAATGGCCCAGATCCGAGAGATGGTTGAGCTTCCTCTCCGCCATCCTCAGCTTTTCAAATCTATTGGTATCAAGCCTCCCCGGGGTGTTCTGCTCTACGGCCCCCCCGGTACCGGTAAGACTCTAATGGCTCGAGCTGTTGCCAACGAGACTGGTGCTTTCTTCTTCCTCATCAACGGTCCTGAGATCATGTCCAAGATGGCTGGTGAATCTGAGTCAAACCTTCGAAAGGCTTTCGAGGAGGCTGAGAAGAACTCCCCTGCCATCATCTTCATCGATGAAATCGACTCTATCGCCCCCAAGCGTGAGAAGACCAATGGTGAGGTCGAGCGACGAGTCGTCTCTCAGCTCCTTACCCTCATGGACGGTATGAAGGCCCGCTCCAACGTCGTCGTGATGGCCGCTACCAACCGTCCCAACTCTATCGATCCCGCCCTTCGACGATTCGGCCGTTTCGATCGTGAGGTCGACATTGGTATTCCTGACCCTACCGGTCGTCTTGAGATTCTTCAGATTCACACCAAGAATATGAAGCTCGGCGATGACGTCGACCTGGAGCAGATTGCCTCCGAGACACACGGCTACGTCGGTTCCGATGTTGCTGCCCTCTGTTCCGAGGCAGCCATGCAGCAGATTCGTGAGAAAATGGATCTCATCGATCTCGACGAGGACACAATCGATGCCGAGGTTCTTGACTCTCTCGGTGTCACCATGGAGAACTTCCGTTTCGCCCTCGGTGTGTCCAACCCCTCCGCTCTCCGCGAGGTCGCCGTTGTCGAGGTTCCCAACGTTCGCTGGGAGGATATTGGCGGTCTCGAGGAGGTCAAGCAGGATCTCAAGGAGAACGTTCAGTACCCTGTCGATCACCCCGAGAAGTACCTCAAGTTCGGCATGTCTCCTTCTCGAGGTGTACTGTTCTTTGGTCCTCCTGGTACGGGTAAAACTATGTTGGCCAAGGCCGTTGCCAACGAGTGTGCCGCCAACTTCATCTCCGTCAAGGGACCCGAGCTTCTCAGCATGTGGTTTGGTGAGTCTGAGAGCAATATCCGAGACATCTTCGACAAGGCTCGTGCTGCCGCTCCTTGTGTTGTCTTCCTTGACGAACTTGATTCCATTGCCAAGGCTCGTGGCGGATCCATGGGTGATGCTGGTGGTGCCTCTGACCGTGTCGTCAACCAGCTTCTGACTGAGATGGACGGTATGACTTCAAAGAAGAACGTCTTCGTTATTGGCGCCACCAACCGACCCGAGCAGCTAGACCCTGCTCTGTGCCGACCTGGTCGTCTCGACTCGCTCATCTATGTACCTCTGCCCGATGAGCCTGGTCGTCTCAGCATTATCAAGGCCCAGCTCCGCAAGACCCCCATCGCCTCCGACATCGACTTCGGCTACATCGCCTCCAAGACCCACGGTTTCTCTGGTGCTGATATCGGTTTCATCACACAGCGTGCTGTCAAGATCGCTATCAAGGAGTCTATCGCTGCCGATATCGAGCGCCAGAAGGCTCGCGAGGCTGCTGGTGACGAGATGGACACAGACGAGGATGCCGAGGATCCCGTGCCCGAGTTGACCAAGGCCCACTTCGAGGAGGCCATGCAGATGGCTCGCCGATCAGTATCTGACGTTGAGATCCGCCGGTACGAGGCTTTTGCCCAACAGATGAAGAACGCTGGCCCTGGTGCCTTCTTCAAGTTCCCCGAGGCCGGTGCCGAGGCTGCTGGTGCTGACGGTGGTAACTCATTTGGCGATGCTGGCAACGATGATGATCTCTACGACTAAGGACGGCAACGACTGTATGGACATGAGTCCTTTGTATTCTAATAATTTCACTCGCACATCTCTACATTGGCTCGTAGGTTGCTAGTGAGTAATCTACTCACGCATTCTATGCTGCCGATATTCGAATGGGAGTTGGTAGAATGGTAGAGCAAAGAAGAACGGCAACCTGATCCTGGCATTTCTGATGAGCCAGAAGGATATGAAAGCAGTCACTGTGTGACTCGAGACGGATTTGCGTTTGATAGATGATGAAATTGATTCCCTTAGCTTTATATCAAGTCTCAAAGTGATTGTTTCTCGTGTGTGCTAAATTGCTTGTCCTCTGTTCGCAAACGCCATAGACTAAATCTTCGTTGAGATGGGCGCTTCCTGTTTGGGCCCTGTACTGTATGGCCTTTGATACAAGGCTCTTGTTGAGCGGTCGCCCTAATACAATGAAGCAGAGAGCTCCATCAGTTTGCAGCTGGAAAGGAACATTTCTCTCCTTCACGTGGAGATATCCATAAAAGTACATCATGATGCCTTGGGGCGCCAAGAAAGGCAAGCATTTATTTTCCGCCGTAGCAAACTTGTCAGAGGTTATCATCAGGGTAATGTCTATTCATTTGTGTCATACGTAGTTATCGTCTCGTGTTCATGTTTTTGGGATCCTGTCTCCCTTCCAACACCCGCGCGAGTATGTTTGTTGTGTATTATATATAATATGGGTTAGTCTGCTATTCAAGAAAGGCCCCCATTAAGCTATTCGTTTGGGCGTATCCTAACTTGTCCGGCTTTGCGTATGTAGGACATGGTGGTTTATGGTGGTAAGCACCCGAGTTGTCGAACCCTTGGTTGGGCTTCTCGCATTGTTTGGATTTTGTCTTCGATTTTGTCGTAATTCAGAATGCCGGGCAGATTTTCCGATGCGACGAGATGTATTCTGTCACCTCTTGACTTGGGGATTTTTGTTCAAACGTTTCAAGGCATAGCCGCATCTTAAGCGGTTCCTTCGTCCTCGATGTCGCAAACAGCTTCTAGGCTCTCCCTGGTGACGCGAAGAGCCTCGTCGATTACCGACTCCGGCACAGCAAGACTAGGCTTAGCGTCGGTCGCGCCATTAGTCTTCGTGGCATCGCCGTTTGTTGCAGGCTTAGCGCTCGTTCCGTTCGAGTTCGATGATATGGGGTTGAGGGCAGAATCGTGGCGGACATCTTCAAGCACGCGACTCAGTAGGGCGGGAAAGGTTGTCACTTCGCCAGAGCGCAGCAGAGCGAGTGCATGCGATTGGATAGCCGTGGGCCAGTTCGTAGAATGGGAGTTCAGCGCGTGGAGAAGAGCATCTTGTATTCTTGGGTAGTGTGTCAGTGGGTTGTCATGATAGAAACTAGCGAGGGAGG